ATGCTGACGAAGACACTCGTGGAGAACAATGTTTAGTGATCTCCAATGTTTCTGGTCATTCTTCAGTAGAAATAGATAATAAAATATGTCGTATTCATATGTTATTTATTTTTATTGAAGTGTAAAGGAAAATTTATGAATGGGTTTTGAATTGGACTACATACATCATACTTTTTGGAGACTTGAAATAGTCCCTTAGCGATACGTATGCTTAGGAGTTGAAGTATGAAATCCTTTCATCAACACATTTGTATAATAAAAACAAGAAATTTATCACTAACTTATGCCTAAAACTACTCGATCATATCACTTTTATCTTAAATAATGTTTATATAGTGTGTAATTATGATTAGTTAGTTACTGAAGCCTCATTTAGATTACGGTGGCAACCAATATCTATATCATATTCTGTAAAATAGTGGTTATATAAAGATCATCTCATGTAACTTAATTTCAATTTGCGGCTATTGAACTGTTTACTCATATTCGGTTTCTCCATTCTACATCTTCTATTATAACCTATACTCTGAAACATGCAAATTATCGTATGCAATAAGTCTTGTATTAAAAATGGGTCATCGAAAAAAATCATAATCTTTCATCATTCAAGTAAGCGCTTACAACTAAGTTTATTTTAAAAGAGATTTCTACTCTCAACCCAACTGTCCTGTAGCACAATTAACCTTTTCGTTATAACTCACTGTAATTGGAAAAAATATGTGTCTCATTATCCTTGAGGTGTAATAATTTCCAAGTGCTACGTCCACATCCCTATACTTCTTGGATCCAAAGTACTTTTTTCCAACATTATAGATTACCAGCTAAAATTCTTGACATTCAATTGGAAAATACCTCTTTGATTACTGGTTTTTATAATTATTATTATAATGGATAAAGTATGTGAGTACTGATTTGAGAACATTTTGATTTCAGGAAGAGATAACATCATAACAGTCATCATTAAATTTCTCATACTCATCAAGTGGACAATTATCTTTCATACATTTTGGCCTTATCATATCATTGTCTAAGTTACCAATCATTATGTCACCCACATTGACACTTGAAATTTTCTAACAGTTTGTTGTGTAATCCTGGTCCTATTTCCTTTATAAACTATTTCATTTTTTATTTATCAATAAATGAAATTACTCGTTGAAACTATATTTGAAATAACCTTAACAACTGAAATTTAAAATAATTCCAACGTTTCGTCCAGCAAACATGTCTGGACTTCTTCAGGGTAATAAACAAAATCCAAACTACGAAATAAATACACAATGTTTAACAATCAAATCAAATCTATACTATGTTTATTTAATCATCTTCAGATGTTGACTTTAGTAAGTCGGATAACATGATAGCAAATGGAGAGGATTTCTCACGATAGAGTAGGTTGGAGAATCGTAGTGGGCAGCCTATGCTCCTTCCCAGGGGTAACAGGAGTAAGTAAGAATAAGGGCTTGCATATGTTTGTCTTGAGCACATAGTTTTGATTTGAATAAACAAATTCTCAAAGCTTCTACAGTGCATTAGTTGTTGAGTTGTGTTCATTTTGAACTGCTAACTCCCGAGTACTTTATTATGTAATTCTTTCCCTAATTTTTGATAGACCACCTTATTTATTAAATTACTATCAATAAAACTGTAAAACTTGAATAAATGATATTGTCGAAAAGAAAATTAATATAACTTGTGCCCTGTATTCTATTAATGTATAATGTAATGATACTGCCGGTTAGAGAACAGTGATTTATCGACAGCACTAATGACGCATAATACCTGTACTAGCAGTCTAGAGTCTTTACCGGTCCTGCTTCCCGCCTAACCCTGTCTGTTAAGTTCACAACACTAATTTCAGCCTCTGTGATATCAATCATGTATTTCAAACATACTGAGTTTATATACCAACCAAATAGACCACTTCGTACAATAAAATAGAAACTAAAATTTGTACAAGATTTGGCCAAATGTGGTTGTCAATCTGGGAGATAGTAATTGATAGACTAGACATAACTCAAGAATAGAAAATCATATAATGATAGTTTATAGATCAAAATAAAGCTTATGATGAAAGAAACACGAATATGAATAGTTTAGTTACTTAACAATTATAGAATAAAAATATACATAGAGTATTACTCCAGAAATAGATTCCGACAGTTACCATTCATTATTCTCATCGGGATATATCAAAAATTTACTTCGCCAAGTCTTTTTTTACCTCTTAAAGTGAATGAATTTACTGAAGTAGAATACACAGTATAAAACAGTTAAGTACTTTGAAATATAATTTGTTTGTTTGTTTTTACAATACAGTTAGTTAAAGTTATAAAATGCGCTGATGCACAATCAAGGTATTTCAATATAAATGATAAATCACGAACTGTTCATGAAAAGAACATGAAAAAAAAAACACAATTATTCTTTGTCTTCATTACGCTTTGATGAACTATGAGTATGTAAAGACACGTCACATCTTATAAATAGGATGAAAGATGGTCAAATATGGGAGGGTTTAGATTATCATTATTGGCTGAGTTTTAATAATATCATAAATAAAAATTATACCTGTTGAATGAGTTAGTTAGCGTACATCTAAACTAAGAAGTTCAGTAGATAACGTGTTGTGTGTTCGAAATGAAAGATATTGGCTTTGTGTTTCATTGTGCATATCAATAATGGGGTGTTGATTCGTCCGGATAATGAATCTATTTTATATACAATGAATGATGTTGAAGAAGTATGTCAGATTACATAAGATAGAAATTGAATAGTACATTTAAAGAATGATAATCATAGATAAACATGGTACAATTCTGTTTGGTGTTAATGTATATGGGTAGATATATCAATTAGATAGAAAGAAAAGTATCAATTTACATAATGTCTGCAAAATAATAATAAAAATTAGTACTAGCATTTATAGGATAGCAAGTACTGAATCTTTTATTCATATATTATTAGTTTTGTGGAAGTCATAAACCTCTTCAATTTATACAACCACTAATAACTAGGAGACATTCGAAAACTGTTTGTCCTAGTACGGAACGACTTCGTAGAAGGCATCTACGGCCCAGAAACTACGAATCGAACAAAGTACCATTATTCGAGCTCGAACGCTTAACCTTCAGATAATTTAGCCAGTATTCAATGGTAAAGATGACTAATTTCAATCAGCGCACAATATTGTATAACCATCTTAATAGTAACTTGATTGTTGAATTCATGAGTCAATTGAAACCAGATCACTATGGCAAACCTGGAAGCACTTGACGGCCGTTTCTTCCTAGTATGGGACTCCTCAATAGTGAGCATCCATGATTCCGCCTCGCAAGATTCGAACTCTGAACCTATCGGGCGCCACCGTTCACCATAGTCATCAGTGAGTTACTATCTCACAACAGACCCGGTTTAGCTCCACTGTTCACTGCTTCTAACTAAAAATCCAGGAAATACCTCTTAGATACCGTCACTTATGAGTATATGACAATAATTACGATCCTCATCTTAATAGTTTTTCTTGTAATTACATATATTTTTCAGTACCGAGTTAAACTGTACTTTCACTTTTTAAATTCTCAAAAAACCTTCATTCTTGAATGTCTCAAATGACGAAGAGATATAAACTTATTCATTTGAGAATAAAACCAAAACAGCTCTAGTTTAAATTTATTATTCAGACTGGTTTACACATGAATAAATAATTCGTTATAGCTTTCACAGTTTTACTCAAATCTGTCATCCAAAATTGCTAATAATGTTAAAAATAATGTATTTGGTTCTTCGTGTTTTAAATTTGTTCAGTGATCACCTTGATTATATGAATAAGTTCTAGTAAACATACAATTACTACTTTAGATTCAAGTTTGAACATGGTTTACAGGTAAAGGTGAATTTTATTCCAAAATGCTTTATCTTTATATTCATGTGTATCGGTTGTTTAAATCTTATCATTGATATTTAGGACTGTAATTACTCAGTCATTTTTAGCATATGTGCACGCAAGAATTATAATCAGAGTTGGATGTTGGATAGCAATAGGGTTTAACGATACATGTTTCTTCTTACTTACCACTTGATAACTGAATGTACCTGTACTCCAGAATTGATGTCCACTTCAGGAATCGAAACCAATACCGAACGCTTCAAACATTATCACGTCATCCACCTATTTATCAAGTAAAGCATTAGTTTCAAGTCTCGAAGTGAACATCAACTTTTGGATATAGTTACATTCGGTTAAGTATTTCCAAATAAGAAGAAACGTAGATCATAGACTTCACTATTAGCCACCATCTATCACTGCATATGTCTTCCTGTATTTGGGCGAAAAATATGTGAATCTAGACACATTGAGCCCATATTTCGATAACACTTCAACAAACCACTTTCTTTTTATTACTTATAATCATACACTCAAAAGTTACTTTTAAAAGTAAAGTAAAAACCATGGTCATTTCACTGTCAGACCTCATTTAAATTTATCCAGGGGCCAAAAGATAAAATATCTATGTTTCATCTTATCACCATGATTATCATCATCATCTCTAATATTGTAGTAAACAAGAACATTAGTGGGGACAATCACATGCATTTGAATACGAAATTACAGAACATCTCAATAAAATCTGGAAACCATAAAGTAAATACTTCATTTACAAAATATCAATCCATTTTCTCAAACTCGACTATTTCTTTTGCAAATATCAGTCCATCGTCTCAGATTTCATTGTTCGTGCATTTTCATACCAATTGTTTTCTGTTACCATTTTTTCCTTCTCATTCTTCTACTGAAATACATTCTATTCGTGACTGTCGTTATATACTACTTATGTGGATATAAGTAGCCCACAACACAATATATATAGTATTTAGCTACAAAATTTATTTAAATCATATTTGTTTACATTTATGTTCTTCTTAACTTCCCTCTTTTTTGTCTATTTAACATAACCATATGGTTCATTATGTGTTTAATTTTTGTTTGTTTCTTTTAGTTTATTAATTTAGCAAGTAAATTTATTGGTATATTTAATCTTGTTTTATTACTTCTACTACTTGGACATTGGAATGCATGTTTACAATTTCTTATACCAATGTTACATGATTATCCAGTAGAAAGTTGGGTAGCCAAAGGTAAACTACAAGTAAGTAGATAATGTATATCATTTTAACAATTCAATGTCATTCATTAAAATTACAGTTTATCAAATTGTTTGTAGTGGCTGTGCTTCGTTAATCAATCACCCTCGTAAACGTTATCATATAATCCTCAACGGTGTTTGAAATCAGAAGGCAAAGAGAAGCAGCAACTACATTTCTATTAGCAGATAACTCAAATCACAAAGCAGAGATGCGAATGAGTGAGTCAGCGAACCGAGAGTGTAGAGTGTTAAATGTACATGTTTATATATAGGGAAATGAATGGATCAGGAGAACGTTATGGAAACTTCTTCGACACTACGGAGTTCCTGAGAAGATTGTCAACATTATCCGGAACTCATACGACGGACTACAGTGCAAAGTAGTGCATGGAGGACAGCTGACAGAGGCATTCCAAGTAAGGACCGGAGTAAGACAAGGCTGTCTACTCTCTCCCTTCCTGTTTCTTCTGGTGGTCGACTGGATTATGAAGACCTCGACATCTGAGGGAAACTACGGCATACGATGGACAGCTCAGAACCAATTAGACGACTTGGACTTCGCAGATGACCTAGCCCTCCTATCACATACACACGAACAAATGCAGATAAAGACAGCCAGCATAGCAGCAGTCTCTGCATCAGTAGGTCTCAACATACACAAAGGGAAAACCAAGGTCCTCAAACACAACACGGAGAACAGCAATCCAATCACTCTTGATGGCGAAACTCTGGAAGACGTGGAATCCTTCACATACCTGGGAAGCATCGTCGATAAACAAGGAGGTTCAGATGCAGACGTCAAGGCGTGGATTGGCAAAGCTAGAGCGGCATTCCTTCAACTGAAGAACATATGGAACTCAAAACAACTTTCAACCAATATCAAAGTCAGAATCTTCAATACGAACGTCAAGGCGGTTCTACTGTACGGAGCTGAAACTTGGAGAACTACAACAACCACCATCAAGAAGGTACAGGTATTTATTAATAGCTGTCTACGCATGATACTCAACATCCATTGGCAGGATACCATCAGCAACAGCCTTTTGTGGGAGAGAACCAACCAGCTTCTAGCTGAAGAGGAAATTAGGAAAAGACGATGAAGTCAGTCGATAGGACATACATTGAGGAAATCATCAAACTGCATTACGAGACAAGCGCTAACTTGGAATCCTGAAGGGAAGCGGAAAAGAGGAAGGCCAAAGAACACATTACGTCGGGAAATAGAAGCAGATATGAAAAAGATGAATAAGAACTGGAAAGAGCTTGAAAGGATTGCCCAGGACAGGGTTGGATGGAGAATGCTGGTGAGCGGCCTATGCTCCTTCACGAGGAGTAACAGGCGTAAGTAAGTAAAAAAAAAATGAATGGATCATCGAATCGATTAAGCAGTTAATAATAAAGCTAGCAGAATGAATATATGCGTAGGCGGTAAACAATGTTCAAGCATACATATTTCATACAGGCATTACAATAATAAAGGTACAATAAATTGTTATAGTACAGCTGACTTTGTCCGTTAAATAAGTTAACAAAAGGGTTTAACCAAATTAAATGAGAACAAACTCAATTGCACGTGAGTTGCTATATGTTCACTTCTAATCAAAAATATTAAATATATAAAATGTTAGTTAATTGAAGAAATATAAATAATGAATAATCATGTTAATATGATTACGTAACATTATACTAAGTAATATTACATATCAGTAGGGGTTTTGTGAATATTATGGTAATTCAAATAGTTCACATCATGAGTCAATCGAAGCTAGACCACCATGGAAAACCTGGAAGCACTGGATATCTGTTTTGTCCTATTGTGGGACTCCTTAGCAGTGCGCATCCACTATCCTACCTCACGATATTCTAGCTTCAATTGACTCATCTATTCATCTATTAAAATCAATATTACATAGATGAGATTAGTAGAACGCTACGTAACTTCTGTCTCAATATATGTAAATGAAGAAAATTCCTTTCTTTTTTTTTCAAAATAAACAATTAGTGTAACATTATTTAACTGAAAAAGTATTAAAATGTCAATGTGATGAAGTAATTACATGTTTTTTTGTGTCAGTAAGTGAATGTGCAGATATCTCTTGAAATTAAATGGGAACAAATGAATAAAATAATATCAACAGGAAACTAACAACAAATAGGAGAAAAGTGCATTTTCGAGTATTTAATTTTCATAGATTAAACCGCAGAATGACCTTAGAAACCAGAAAAGACCTGACGGCTATTTCATCTTATTATGAAACTTCTGAATAGTACACATTGACAACACCACCAGGAATCGAACATGAGACCTTCGGTCTCGCGAGCGAATGCCTAACCTATAGACCACTTAATCAGAATCTGGTGGTGTACAAACATAATTTTAATCAATTGGTGATTTTGTGCATTCATCTTTATATTTATATATTTCCAACATTTTTGTTATATAGTTAGTTGTAAATTAGTTACTTAGTTAGTCAGTTACTTATAGACGATTATTCAGTAGCTTGGATTAACACATCAGATTAACTAACAGAAATAAATTTTTAATGGTGAGTTACAAAAGAGTTGTCATGACAGCAATAAAAATGAGTTTTAACCAGTCAGAAGGCAGTAACCTTTATTTATAATAGGAAACGAAGAAAACTACTGGTAAGATATTGTTTTTGCATTATTAAGGAACATTTCCAAGTTTTCTACGAATTCTCTAACTTTAATATCCCAAACTTAAAACTTTAACACTAACAACTTAACTAATTGATCTCGTGTTTCTATACATACATTCAGGGTAGTTTCTTCACGACATTCACATATAAGTGCTTTTTAATATTTTATAAATATCTTATCATATTATCCTCGCTGAAATTTGTCATAATGCGATAAGCCATTATATTCATGCTACCTTATTTTAGCCAAATGGCGGAGTTTATCAATACATATGTCGTGACGTTGAAGCCTCTTACTCATTCCTGAATGGTTGTGTGGCATATCGTAAGTTACCGCCATTCACTTAGAACCTTAGGATAAGATTGTATTCACCCTTTCAAATTTTCTCTCATCATATATTACCTCTTACTATTAGAAGTTGAACCCATTGGAGGATATTAACATACATATTTTTTCTTTAATATTTATTTAACAGAATGCTTATTGGTTTGATCAATACACTTGGGCTTTGTTTAAAGCTATGTCACATATGTTAACTATTGGTTATGGAAGATATCCACCCACCAGTTTAAGTGAAGCATGGGTTACAGTGATAAGTATGGTTACTGGAGCTACTGGATATGCTTTATTTGTCGGTCATGCGGCAGCATTAATACAATCATTTGATTGTTCAAAACGTCTTTATAGAGAGAAAGTAATTTCATTATTATTTTTACTATATAATTTACTAGTATTGTATTTTGAATAAATGTAATACAGTACTTCATGTCAGTATGTTTAAAATGTTTCAATTACTACTGTAGTTTAAAATGAGAGATAGTCATTAATTTTGTAGTGAAAGAGAACATGGTTGAGGACAATCGATTATATTTAGCACAAAATTACAGAGTTACTTAATAAAATATAAAAACTATACTCAAATACTTCATTACTTGTCTCAGACTTCATTGTTTTTGCATTTCCATACTAATTGCTTTCTGTTCCCGATCTTTCTTCTTCGATCTTTTTTCAACCTTCTGCTACCAGGCATTCTATTACTAATTAGCGTTATATACTACTTATGTCGACATAAGTAGCACATACCACAATTTAGTACAAAAATTACTTACATATTTCAATGCATTTCAACTACTAATCAGTTTTTATCAAGTTTTGGCTGATAATAATGATTTACATATGTATGCATGAAATTTTTATAGAAAATTAGTCACTAGTTAAATTACATGTATGGTGAGATATATTAGATTGCAATGTAGATTCGAGTATCATCAGTTGATTTTAACACGGTAATATTTTGAATTAAGTGTAATTCTATATACCTGAATTATATATATTAACAGAAAGATGGTCCCCAAATAATTCCGATAGATGTATTCTAGCCTTATATTAATATTTATGAAACAATACCGATCCAAACTTGTTGATTACTGACTTATGGATCAGTGAATATTTTAAATTAGGACTATAATTCGTTATTCAGTTATTGAGAACCAGCTAAAGATCATTTCAAACTAAATCCAACAGATTAAGATTTTTGACATTATAAAATAACTTACTAATAATAAGTGTTTAAGTTTATAAATTAACTCACTTATACAAGCATATTCAGTTGACGAGTCTAAAATAAAATGAAATGTATATATCAATATAGGGTAATGAAGATTATTGAGTTTAGTTTGAGATCATGAGTCGATCAATGTTAGACAACCATTGAAAACCTTGAAGCACTAGATGGCCATTTCATTCTAGTATGAGGCTCCTTAACAGCACGTATCTACGATCCCTCATACTTGACTCGAACTAAGGACCCTCAATCACGTTAGAATGCTTAACCTTGAGACCACTGAGTCAAGATCCAACAGTGTTAATGTCTATCTTCAACTAATCTACGATATTATGCCATCATATTCTTGTTTCTTCAGTAATTTGTTGAATTATAAAATTACGATGAAATCATTGAAAATAGTATTATTTTACAAATATTTAGTTTAAACAAGTGGATGAATATATGGCATATAGAAAACTTCCACGTGGTTTACGTAAACGTATTGCTAGTTATTATGAACATCGATATCAAGGGAAAATGTTTAATGAAAATGAAATTCTCAATGAACTTTCAGAATGTTTAAAAGAGGTAAATATAATTTTATATTAATTCATTAATTTACATAAAATATGATTTCTTTTGTAAATATTCATTTGACTATGATTGTTACAACTTAAAGCCTTGCTTGTTATTACGTAATTTATTCGTCAGTCGAAATACAACTCTGCAAAACCGATAACGTACGACCGGTATAGACAGCCTAACATCCTTATTGGTCCTTTTTTCACCAAACCCATCCAGTTAAGTCCAGAACACCAATAACAGCTTCCACTATGCGAATTATTTATTTCAAATATGCTTCGTTTATATACCAGTCAAATAGACCGCATCACACCATAAAATAGGAAATAATATTTATACAAGATCAAACTAAGAAAAGGCTGTCAGACAAGGCTGTCTGCTTTCCACCTTCCTTTTTCCTGTGGTGGTCGACTGGATTATGAAGACCTCGACATCTGAGGGAAAGCACAGAATACATTGAACAGCTCAGAACCAACTAGAGGAGTTGGATCTCGCAGAAGACCTAGCTCTCCTATTTCATACACACGAACAAATACAGACGAAGACAACTAGTATAGCAGCCTCCGCATCAGTAGACGTCGACATACACAAAGCAAAAAGCAAGATCCTCAAATACGACACAGAGAACACCAACCCAATCACACTTGATGGCAAAACTCGAGAAGACGTGGAATCCTTCACGTAGCTGCGAAGGATCGAATGCGGACGTAAAGGCGAGGATTGGCAAAGCAAGGACAGCGTTCCTACAATTGAAGAACATATATATATTGGAATCGTGAAGAGAAGTGAGAAAAAAGGGAGACCAAAGAACACATTACGTCGAGAAATAGAAGCAGACATGAAAAGAATGAATAAGAACTGGAAATAATTGGAAAGGATTGCTCAGTACACGGTTGGATGGAGAATGCTGTTGAGCGGCATATGCTCATCCACGAGGAGTAACAGGCATAAGTAATAGTCTCATTACTTTTGGAGTGCCCGGAAACCTATTTATTAGATTGTTATAGGTAGTCAGAATGCTGCCCTGAAGCTGAATTTCATGTTAGTTAACATTTATCAGCCAGACCCGTCTTCTATCTTCAGGGAACAGTTGACTAGTTAAAGATTCCAACATGTGTTGTCTGTTATCACATCCAAAGATGTTATTATTTAGCTATTAATGTGAAAAATAACATTGTAACTGATGTAAAAAATATAGTATACCGGTATGCATGAAATTTTCAAGCACAAAAGGATTCCTCAGTATGGGGTTGTAGAGATTGTTGAATTCCATTGACAACATGAAGCGATGAAATTTAGACGAACATTGAAAAACTGGAAGCATTAAACAGCCGTTTCATCCTAGTATGAAACTTCTCAATAGCGTATATCCATGATCCCGCAAACGGTATTCCAACAAAGAACTTTCATTCTCATGTGCAAATGCTTGATCTCTAGACCAGTGAACTGGCATTCAGTAGTGTTAATGTCTAGCTTCAGTCAGTCCACAACATTGTGTGGTCATTTCCCATTGTTTTCACTGAATATTAAAACACTTTATAAATTGCTCAAAAAATATATAAAATGGTCTATAAAGTAATTAAGTTTAATTCACCATATATCATCAAAGAATAACTTTATAAAGGGTAAGATAAAGAAAGACATTTTCATATGAAAGGAAAAAACACTTATTTCAAAGCTCAAATTTAAAAATTTACTTTCTCTCTATATATTTTTCTCCATAGTTTTCCCTTGTTTCCATGTTTACAGAAAATGATTGACTTTGATGTATTTACTTTGATGTTTATTGGCTTTATCATCATGTCGATTATCTTTTTTTCCACTTAAGCATCATCACCATCTGAACACATAAATACTAGTACAATGGGGCACCAGATATATATGCGCCACACAAATCTCATTTGATTTGCGTAAGGACTGTGATACTGCCCGGGTGCCCAAACCGAAGTAGGTGGTTGTCTTAAGGAGTCACACCCAGAGCCTTTGACCTAAAGGTCTGATCCACAAGACAGTGTAGCATCGTAAGGAGATGCTGTCTCATAGTAGCCGGTGACCAATGTTTGGTTCATACGCCATTTGTTCCCTCAGGATACTGTAGCCCATGTGCACCATTGGTTTGGAATCAGTGTTTTCTAACTCCCCTAGGTGAACTCTCTATGTCCACCAACCCGGTTAAAGCACCGAACATTCGCTTTTCGTCCTCTCGATTTCGTAAACAACACCCCGCTACGAGAAGGCAGTGAGTAGGACTTTCCTGACAATCTCTGTATACGCGTGGCCATGTGCCAACATTTCAAGAGGGTGGGTGGACTCTCCCCACTCTTGGCCGTACCAGAGCAGACTATCTACAATAACCTTACATGGTAATAAGCAATTCCGCCCTAATGATTTACTCTAAGAAAAATTGATGGTGTTTTATTACTAAACTATAACTGGTAGAATTTACCAATATCAAGAATGAGACAGTTATCATGAATGAGGATAGTACAGCATAACTAACTCTCTGAGATTAGAAAAGTGTGCCAACGGATATCTACTAGTTATTTTAAAGGTAATTTATTGATTCGGGTCATCAACTGACACTACTTATGAGTCCTATACTAGTGCTCTTAAAGTGATTATCTATTCTTAATAGACAAAATGAGTTAAAATATAAGTTTGGATTGTAAACACCAGAAACACTGATTTGTTTTATAGATAAATTAATTGGTCAAACATCAAACTGATCTGCATCGAACTAGTTTATGATCTGATTAGTACTGTTAACCAGGAAAACACTTTAAAAACTTTAAAAATTAATCTAGAAGTTTCTGTTTATGTTGATTAATTTTTCATTGAAATAATCAACAAATATAACTTTAGATTGATATCATGAATACAAAATGTTAGACCACCCTTGAAAACCCGGAAGCGCTGGACAGCCGTTTCATTCCAGTGTAGGACTCCTCAGCAGTGCGCACCCAAGATCCTGCACGTGGCACTCAAATCCAGAACCTCTAAACTCACGCAAGAATGTTTAAGCTCTAGACCATTAAGCCGGCGTATATCAAGGTTAATTTGTAACTTCAATCAATCCACGATATCGCACCACCGTTTACCATAGTTTTCAGTGAGTAACTACCTCCCAATAGACATGGTAGTAGTCCCTTAGTTACGTTAATTCATTAGAACTCTGTAAAATCCACCTTAAAGCAAGTCATTAGCGAGAGCATGAGGAGTCCCATACTAGGACGAAACGGCTGTTCAGTGCTTTCAGAGTTTCATGATGTCAATCTAAACTCAACAATCTTCACAATATAACTTTTTTGTTTTCTACATTTAAGCAAATTATCAATTACAATTGTCGAGCATTAGTTGCTGCTGTACCATTTTTTACATTTGCTGATCAAAATTTTGTCTCAGAAGTAGTTGTTAAATTACGTTATGAAGTGTTTCAACCAGGTGATTTGATTATTAAAGAAGGTACAATTGGTACAAAAATGTATTTTATTCAAGAAGGTATAGTGGATATTGTTACAAGAGATGGTGAAGTAGCCACTAGTTTGTCAGATGGTTCATATTTTGGAGGTTAGTGTATGTTTTTGATGTAGAGATTCATTTTGTACATAACTTTATATCTCATTGGTAGAGTTTGATTATTTTATTGTTAATAACTGACATTTATGAGTAGTCGTTCTTATGCGTATGTCAAATATTCATGTAACTCGATTAATCTTGCCTATTTCTATAGTACAGGTTAGTGTATTCGGCTTGAATCTTAATTGTTGACAATGAGGGCTAGTGATAGTATTAGAACACTCAAAGCAGAGTAGGTAAAATGGGATTTGAGTCTGGGACCTACTGATAAAAGTCGAGCACTTTAACCATTAAACCACCATTCCATAAATCTTCATTATATTCATCATTAGCTTTCATATGGTAAAGTTACTACTATTTATAGAAGTGAATTTTGAATATTTGGTCAAGACTTTTAGTCGATTTTACTGTTTCTATGTATCAAATGTAGATTCGAATGAATTAATGGATAATCCAATTTAATAATCATATGAAGTATTTACTAAAAAAGCTTGTAGATTTTGTAAAGTAATCTAAATCGGTATAATAAGAAAAACATACAGTTGGATAACTGTTATCCTCAAGAATTGGTTAGATAATTGTTATAACTTGTTGGCCTATGCGCCCTGTTAATGTATAATGTAACGATACCACCAATCAGGGAGCAGTGACTTGTCGATCGGACCAGTGACGCATAAAACCTGTGTGAGCAGTCTAGAGTACTTATCGTTCCTGCTTCTCGCCTAACCCTGCCTGTTAAGTTCAGAACACCAATCTCAGCCTCTGCAATATCAATCATTTACTTCAAGCATACGGGGTTTATATACCAATCAAACAGACCACATTGTACCAATAAAATATGAAACAACATTTGTACAAGAATTAGCCAAATGTGGCTGTGAATGTGGGAGGTTGTAGTCAATAGACAGGGAATAATTCAAGAATGGTAAATCGTATAATAATAGTTCATAGGTCAAAATAAAGCTCATAATAAGAGGGACACGTATATGAATAATTTAGTTATTTAACAATTATATAGTAAGAATATACGTATAGTACTGGTCCACAAATGGATCCCAAAAGTCACCATTCATTATGCTTATCGGGATATAACAATGATACATAAAAAATATGTCTCGTTCTTTAATTCACTACCGAAAATTACAGACATGCATAGATGAATCTCTATTAGTTAATGAGTTCTGGTATTGCATATTGATTACATTTTTCAGTAGCTTGTAGGTAGTTTTAAATTATATGAGTGTATAATTCAATTCAAATTGGCAATGTGAGCTAAATGGAATACAAGTAGACTCATTCGATAAGTTCAAAAAAAAATAAATAAATAAAAGACAAAAAGGAATAGGTACTGTGTATCGTCATAGGAATTTTCTTGATGTAGTACTATTTTAATTTATTTTCCTCAAGTTCTAGTAAGAAGCAGTGGAGTTTAACCAGGTCTGTTGTAAGATTGTAACTCACTGAAGACAATGGTGGATGTTTCGCTCAATTTCTTAGATTAGTTAAAGTTAGACATTAACACCACTGGATGCTAGCCAGCTTAGTGGTCTATATGTTAATTATTTGTGCGCGAGAATGAAGGTTTCGGTTTTGATACTCGCGTGTGGGATCGTGGATGCACACTGTTGAGGAGTTCCATAATAGAACGAAACGGTCGTCCAGTGCTTTTAGGTTTTCTATGGTGGTCTAGCTTCAATTGACTCATGATCTCAACTACTAAAATTAATTTAAAATTATCAGATCATTTGTTTCATTTACATTGTTTGTACATTAAAATGGGTCCTTTTAAAACATTTACACTTTTTTTTTATTATAGAAATATGTCTATTGACAAATGCTCGCCGTGTGGCAAGTGTTCGAGCAGAGACATATTGTAATGTTTATTCATTAGATAGAGCAAGTTTTTTAGAAGTATTAGATAATTATCCATTAATGCGTAGAACTATGGAGTCTGTTGCAGCTGAACGTTTAAATAAAATTGGACGTGATCCTTTAGTTGTTAGCAATCGTAAAGATTTGTATGATGATTTAAAACTAGTAAATGAAATAGTAAATCAGGTAAGCTTTATAAATTAAATTATTGAGTGTATTTTATTCTGAATGTTAAAGGCATACTAGTATGCGCAATTGATAAACCACCGACTGGTGATTAATGTTATGTTCGTCTAGTCTATATAGCTCAGTATCTTGTGCATTATGTCCAGTTGTCAGGTGGGTGGAGCTTAGTAGATGATTATACCACAAAGTTAATGACAAATCATATGTTCAAATGAAATGACAATATGAATCTAATTTTGTGTTTAGATTATTCATCCAGTTCTATTAATCAACACCAAAAGATTAGATTAATACAACTTAGTGGTTAGTCAGTTGTATCCAACCCCTTTACACGATCATATGCACATGAAATTACTACTAGACTGTAATTCACAATATTTTCCAACATCTACAATGTGAGATTAGTAGAACTATATGTAATGGCTTGTTTAATTTAAGGATAATTTTGGATCATACTCATTATAGTGAGAAGAATGATCAAAAATTAAGATGAATCAGATAACCTTTTTATTCTAAACTAAAACATCTGATCATTGCATACTTTACATGAATTCAGGACCTTCAGTTTTTATAGCATACTTGATGCAATTAGATCAATATATAGAAATGGAATACGTATATATTTGTTCATTTCTCAATGTATCATGACGATTATTAAAGAAAAAAAATTAAATTCCAGCTCATTTTGCTAACTTGCTTACCAAAAAATATAATTGTGAGGACGGCAAACAGGTGAACTCGAGGAAGCTCTAAGAAGCTCAGAAACAGCCGAAGATATTCCGTCCAATCATCTTTTTGAAGAATATTCCCTATTGGAAAAATGCTAAAAACTCACTATATGCGGATTGAAGGACTATACTGATCATTTCATTTTTAGTTAAAAAAAAACTATAAATACCTAGTAGTTTTGTACCATATTTGACACTGCTTCGAATAGCGTTCCTTTCACGTGACTTCTGTTTTGTCATTTACAACTTGAAAGGTTCTAGCTTTCAGATGCTCAAGTTATACGCGGTATATTAGGAATCTAACCTCTAGATATAACAATAATTATGTAGCACTGTTTATTTACAATATGTTTTATAAATTGCTAGAATTCATGGTTGTTTTCTGGCTACTTCAGGTGCGGTTATACTAAATGATGAATTGAGTAATTTGAAAAAACTATGATATTTCTTATGTTAACAAATACAATCGCTTGATAATCAATAGTAACTACCGAATCTGGTGACAATATAATTTATGGACGACCTTTGAGGGACGTTAAAGTAACCTTGAGAGTGTCCACCTAATAACTAGGACTAAATAAGTGTCATAAACCAGTGTTAGAAATTAGAATTATGATTTATAGTTAATTATTAAGTTTACGAATTAGATGTCAGGTTTTCATCACGAATTGACATCAATTATAATGCCATAACTCTATTTAAACAAATGGATGAGTAAAGTTCTCTCGAAAATCCGAGACCTATTATCTTATACCTGATTGATTTGATCATACATTCTAGTCTCACTCGATATCTTTATTGTAACTACCTTTTTCAGAATAACATCGTTCTAAGTGAAAGATAATCGATTCTCTATTAGTTTCTACTTTAAAATAACCTTAATTCAATCATTTTTTAAATAAATAAATAAAAACTTTCTATACAATATTCATATGATATTTTAGGCTATTCGTGAAACAGATGATGTACAAATAGAAGGTGAAACAGAAGATAGCATTGATGAAAATGATATTGATAATTATAAAACTGATGATGATAATAATAATAATAATACTACTACTACTAATGATAATATAAATAGTCAATCTAATGGTAATAATAAACATCATCATCATAATGAACGAAATTATCAACTATGTAAAAAAATTAATAAATTCTCTCATTCAGTTAATTATTTTAAACAACGTAAATTATCTCATTGGAATACATTAATATTACGTAAAAGTTCTGAACCAGAATGGTTACATCATTCAACTCAGAATAGATCTAGTACATCAACATTATTCAATACAAGTATTCGTAAATGGTATCATATTAAACATAATAAATTAAATAATTCAAAAATAATAAATAAAACTAAAAGTGTAGATAATTTAAATTTATTAAAAATATCATCTAATTTATCCAATAATTGGCAAATAACAAAATCAACACCGGTGAATGTTACAGTTTCTATTATTAATGAACATGATGATTTATCATTAAAAGAATCAACTACATCAAGTATACCAATTAAAATAAATGAACAAAATCATGAAAATAATATTTCAATCAATAATCAATAGAAATAATCTATACAGATATCTTAATTAATCATTACTATTATTATTATTATCATTATTATTATTATTATTATTATTATTATTACCGTTACGTAATATAATCCAATGAAATGATATATCTACAATAAAGAGATCCATTTACTTCAATATATATTAACTATTCATTCAAATATCATTTGTGAATAATAAATGTAGAATTAGTAAATGATCATTTAAAAAAACAAACAATCTATTTCTTTATATACATGGATATATCTTATTAAGATATTTTAATATCAATAATTGAGATCATAAATCAATTGAAGATAGATCATCATGAAAAGCGTGGAAACACTGGAAGGTCATTTTGTCCTATTGTGAGACTCCTCAACAGTGTATATGTACGATTGTACAATAGGAAAAAAAGTAGTCATAAAGTGCTTTCATGTTTTTTTTATGATGATCTATCTTCTATTGGCTCATGATCTTAATCATTGAAATTACTATGATATCTAGAAAAAAAAATCCTTCTGATATTTTAATATATTTGTTCAGTGGTTGTGAAAGAGTCTAAATTGATTAAACAATCTATTCAATTAGATTATATTCTTATTGTTATCATTGTCAATAGTTTATTATTTTTTTTTGTCAAGTTGTTTACTTTTATTTCAACTTAGAACTATGTGTTAGTTACATTGGTGAATGAATGTCAATTTGTTAGAAAGGGATTACTTCTTTATTTTTTCCTAATCAGCACTAGTCACACAACTATTTATCATGTAATTTCTTCTTGAATGATCAATTAATTAAGTCAATTTTAACGAGATGATTAACTGAAATAATGTTGTCTATGTCTATATCTATTATGAACATCGAATGTATACAACATTAGTATTATGTTCAGACTGGATTAAAATGTTCTGTATAATATGTTGTTCAGTATGTAACCGTCACGAACTACAACACAGGTGAAGACAATTGATTATATTTTGGTAAAATATAAGAACTATACACTAAAATACTTCATTTTTAAATTTCCATTATTTGTTTTTCATATTCTGTATAATTCTCCAAGTTCTTCTTAGCTTTCTACTGCCAGGTTTTTCATTTCCGATTGGTGTTATATACTACTTATATCTGTCAGCATAAGTAGCATGTATGACATAACAAGTATCAAGCACTTTTATTAAAATCACTGAATAAAGTTTTGCATAGTATTTGTGTTTGCATCAAAATGACTATTAAAGTTAATAAAGAATTTTTTCCGGTTAAACCAATTTAACACAGTGATTAGTTAGATGTTTAAATTAGGTTAGATATGAAAAAGATGGATTACAACTGGAAAGGGTTGCAAAGAATTGCCCAGAACAGGGTTGGATGGAGAATGTTGGTGAGCGGCCTATGCTGCTTCACGAGGAGTAACAGGCGTAAGTAAGTAAGTAAAAGTTAAATTAGGTTTATTAGAAACTTGACAACAATTTGAAAAGAAATTTCATATTGAAATAACATCAGTTAATGATCAGGTAGTAAACAGCTGGAAGCTTATATTATTGATTAGCTTGTAAAAAACTTTTACGATTGAAATGGATGAACAATTCGTGTTTATCGTTTTGGATGTGTGTGGATTCCTTGAAAAAGTTTTGCGTAAACTTACAATTCACATTTATTTTATATTGTTTATTCGAATCTTCTAATGGATGTTTAGAATTGCGATTGATCAGTGTCTTATTGTGCAGGTTGGTTTGATATTGCCCTAAGTTACAAGCATTATATGCAAATATGGATAGTAGCTATCAGTTGAATCTAAGACGCGCATTTCGTCCTATTTGGAACTTGTCATCTGGATGAAGTGAACAGCACTGGGTTCCAGACCCAGACTGAACACCAACTCCAAGATGTAGGCGAATCCAGCTGGTAAGTTCCAAATAGAACAAAACGCGCGTCCTGGATTCCACTCTAGCCACCATCTATCTTTACACTTCACAGTTTACAGTCATAATATTACTTAAGACATTTTAGTTAGTTATCAATGTGAAAGTTAATCTATAAAAATGATTGCAAAGTTTTTGATATATCAAATAAACACAGTATCTTCTTACCTATCTTCTCACTTATTTGAAGAGTTATATAACCACATGTAACTTTTGAATATTAAATTACTTTGAATCTAATTAAAGGAAATCTAATAAAGTAAAAGTTATCTCAAAGAATCGGAGTTCTTGTTTACAACTCTCTAGTAAGTAATGATTAACAATGAACAAAAAAACTTTTTATTCACTTGGTGTTGTTTACTTGTATCTAATCAAGTCCCAGAATGACCATCAACTATGAGATGTAGATACATCCAGCTGACGAGTCCCAAATAAAATGAAACGCACGTCAAACTGGATTCCACTACTAGCCACTATCCATCTTTGCTTAAAAATAGGTTTTTTCTAATGTTTTCAAAGATTTTATCTCAAAAGGTCAAAAATATCCTTATAATTACTTATGATATTGTAGGTATCATTTCTTAATCATTATACACTCAAGCAATGAAAATACTTATAGTGTAAATACATATCTAAATAACAATGACTGACCATTGAACAATAATCCCTATCATATTTGCCTTGTCTTCATTGTCAATCAGATTCTGTGGATTAAATTAAATGTCAACCAATAGTCTAAATGACTAGGTGTTGTATGTAGTATATGTTTGGGTGTTATATAGATGAAAGTGATCGGTAGAAAATTCGAAACTCGGAAGGATAGGGACACACGTCGTTGCCTTTTCGTCGTTTTTGTCTACGCTCCCACTGACTGCAGTTCGGATGAAGTGAAAGATGAATTTTACAGAAAGCTGTCTGAACTTCTTCAGAAAGCTAAACGTTCAGACATAGTACTCGTAGGAGGTGACTTTAATGCCCAGGTAGGTAGCTTAAACAAAACAGAAAGACATTTAGGTAGGTATTTTAGTATTCCGGCACAGCGAACAGATAATGGTGATCGTCTGCTGCAACTGTGCTCAGACAATCGTTTATTTTTAGCAAACACAAATTTTAAGCATAAGGAGAGACATCGTCTAACATGGCGACCCCCTGCACCAAACCAACGATGGACTCAAATAGACCATATTGCCATCAGTCATCGTTGGAGAGGGTCAATAGAAGATTGTCGCTCATTCTGGGGTACCTGCTTGGACTCTGATCATGCCCTAGTACGAGCACGCATCTGCTTGCGCCTCACTGGACGCAAAAGAGCCACACAAAAAAGACTCATTAGAACCGAATTGAGTAATGAGAAAGCCAAAAGTAGGTTCCAGGAACAACTGAGGTCACACTTAGGTAGTTCTGAAAACGAGACTGACCCAGATGTTGCTTGGAAAGTTATACAAGCAGCTGTGGAAACAGCATTGACATCTACCAGTGAGTTAAACCACAGGGTTACAAAGAACCAATGGATTTCGTCAAGGTCTATTGCACTGATAGATTCTCGCAAACTCATCCCATCAGGTTTTGAATACGATGAAGAGCGTAAAGAAATCAAATCTAGATTAAGCAAAAGTCTAAGGAATGATCGTGAGCAGTGGTGGGCAACGAAAGCAAAAGAGATGGGAAAAGGCGGCGGCTATAGGGAACACAAGACAACTCTACAGACTAATAAAAGAAACTGGAATTAATAAATCAAGTGTAAGTCAGACCATTTCGGAAAAAGACGACACTCTCATCTGCTCCCAGTCCAGAGGCTTAGAACGATGGGCGGAACACTTTAAGGAGCAGTTTAGCTGGCCTTCAGCTACTCTACAACTACCCTCTATTCCCAGACAGTGTTAATGGAACATTGAAGTAGGTCCACCAACTCTAGCTGAAGTTCAAAAGGCTATAGCTCATCTGAAACGAGGAAGGGCAGCTGGTCCAGATGGATTGGCCCCAGAGGTCTTTAAGGATGGTGGTCTAGTCTTAGCGATTAGGTTGACTAATATTTTAGCTAAAATCTGGGAGTTAGACGTCATCCCGTCTAACTGGTCACAATCACTTATCGTCCCAATATTTAAGAAAGGGTCAAAATCATCCTGTGACAACCACAGAGGGATTAGTTTAACTAATATAATATCTAAAATACTAGCCTTGATAATTTTCGGACGCCTAACTAAGACTCGTGAGCTGCAAACACGTGAAAATCAGGCTGGCTTCAGACCTGGTCGTGGCTGCATCGACCACATATTCACCATTCGTCAGGTTCTAGAACACAGGCATACTTATCGGCGTCCGACAATGGTGGTATTCCTTGACTTAAGAGCAGCGTTTGACTCTGTTGACCGAGAGGTTCTGTGGAAGTGTCTGTCATTGAAAGGCGTACCTCAGAAGTACATAAACCTTGTGAAGGCTTTTTACTCGAACACTACTAGTCGGGTCAGAGCCTATGGCGAACTGTCATCTGCTTTTGCAACCTCAAGTGGCGTCCGTCAAGGCTGTCCACTTTCTCCATTTTTGTTTAACTTTATCATAGACATCCTGATGGAAATAACGCTCTCATCGACTGACTTCTCGGGTATTGATCTCCTACCAGGTGGTCCACTTATTGACTTAGAATACGCAGATGACATAGTCCTGTTTGGTGAAGACGCTGATGAAATGCAGAGTCTTTTGGTAGCATTGAGCAACAATGCTAGAATGTTTGGGATGCGCTTTTCTCCCTCTAAATGCAAGTTGTTGCTTCAGGACTGGTCTTCGTCAACACCTGAACTAAGGATAGGGAGTGAAGTAGTCGAACGCGTTGACAACTTCACTTATCTTGGAAGTCTGATCAGCCCTAATGGGTTGGTGTCTGACGAAATCTCAGCACGGATTCGAAAAGCTCGTTTGGCCTTTGCCAACTTACGTCATCTATGGCGAAGGCGAGATATCCGTCTATCAATTAAGGGACGAGTATACTGCGCGGCAGTTCGTTCCGTCCTTCTATACGGCTGCGAAACATGGCCTTTAAGAGTGGAAGATATTCGTAAGTTACTAGTATTTGACCACAGGTGCCTTAGAAATATT